GCGGCGCCCCCCGCCCACTCTGCCGGCAAACGACGGTTTAAAACAGCAACAAACGAAACCCAAGGCGAGGCTGCCGTCCTCCGCAGATCCCGGTTCTGAGAAAAAGAACGTTTCTGCTTTGTGTGTTTTGTTTTGTTTTTAAAGCCACAAATCTTAGAAAACAACTTTGGGGATGTTTTTCTTTTCTCCGTGTTCCGTTCTCCCTTGTCTTTTTTTTTTTTTTTTTTTTTTTTTAAACAATAGCATTTATAGAAAGAACTTCACAAAGGTGATCTATGTACACGGTCCCAATTCCGGACTCGCTCAGTAGGCAATGTGGTAGCACCTTTTCGAAGAGCTTTTCATGGTTCAGGGTCTGAGGAGTTGAGGTGGGCGGTGGGCCCTGGCCGCCCCGGGCCGGCCGGCCCTGCTCCCTGAGTCCCGCCGCGTCTGGCCTGTCACTGCTGCTCGCTGCAGACAGGGCCCGCGCGGGAGGTGGCCTCTGGGGCCAGGAGGGAGGCGAGGCCAGGGCTCCCGGCGAGCAGGTGCGGGGCCGCTGCCTCCTTCCTGGGGGCTGGGCGGCCATGCTGGGCTGAGAGGTCAAGGATGAATGGACACCAGCGGACTCTCTAGAATGCTCTAGAACGGGGCTCCAGGCCGGCCCTGTGCCTGCAGCAGGCTCTCCATGAAGGCCAGGTAGTCCAGGCTCCGGGCCGTGTCCTCGGTGGTGGTGGTGGTGGGGTTGGTGCGTGGGGCGCCCACCCGCGGGCGCTTGGCGGCCTTCACCTCCTCTCCCGAGAAGACGCTGTCCTGGGGTGCCCCCGTGCTGACTGACTGCGGGGACCAGAGAGTACACGGTTAGTGGGGGGCAGGCTCAGCGTGGCAGGGCCAGGGGCCACTGTCTCTCAGTGAAGGACCTTCCCAGTGGGCTAGCTGCCTGCTAGGGGTGCCGCTCGGCAAGACCCTGCTTCCCCGGGGACCCTGGTCCTGCAGGTGAGCTCCCCATGGCCCTCCCGGCAGATGGGGCGGGAGAGGGGCCTCACACCCCGCTGCTGGCTCCCCTGGGAGGAGCGGAGGGACAGGCCACTTCCTGGAGGACGGGAGCCCAGGAGGCAGCACAGGCACAAGGGTCCCCAGGGGAGCCTCCCATGACCCCACCCACCACACCTCAAGGCTGGATTAGAACGAGAGAAAGGAAACGTGCGGCCAGTGGCATCACTGGAGGGTGCGGGGGTGTGGACCACGTAGGATGACACTGTCAGAGGGGATGACACCATCAGAATGACTGTCTATAAAATGTCTGTGCAGCGTTCCAGCAGAAATTATTCTTTATAAAAATATCCCTGTAGTTCGTTGTAATAAAAACATTTTCCTAAATCCAGATTGTATGTATCGACACAGACACTCATGTACCAACACCCCTATAGGGCCGCTGAGCCGGCATCGACTCGGCAGCAGTGAGGTGTTTTTGGGGTGCCGCGTGCCCCGCCTGCCCGCCCACACCACAAGCGGGCGCCGGCGTTTCCGCTGCCGTCAGTTTTCACAGTCGCCGATCCGTCAAATGTCCCGGCGTTTCAGCTACGATACCGTGCAGTTAGCGTGGAGGGGCGACACCAGCTCTAGTGACGCCACTGTGCGCAACAGGGGTGGGGAGAAGCCAGCGTTCCCCCTCCGCCTCTCGACTCGCTGTCCCCTTAAAAGGGGGCGCGCGCTGGGACAGCGGTTTGTAAGCCGCCAGCTGTGGCGCAGGCTGTGCTCCGGGACCCGCAGCTGGAGCTGTGGTGAGCACGCGTCCAGCGTCCGAGGGCTCAGAGGCTGGTGGAGGCTCTTCCTGCTCTGTGCCCCGCTCTGTCAGAAGGGGGGCGGCCCACTCCCGCCACCCGGACAGCCTCCTCCCTTGGAGCTGGCTCCCCCAAACATCCGCAGCACCCCCTCCTGGCTGGAGTGGAGGCAATGGGCTGACAGAGGGGAGCTGCTCGGCTGGAAGGCTAGGAAGGCTCGGTCAGTTCCGGTGAAATGGGACGCCAGGGCCCACTTCCAGAAGCCCAGGAGAAAGCTCCCCGGCCCCGAGGCCCCCAGCCTCCCACCGCGGCCCACCCTGTGGCCACTCACCAGCCGCGACCTGACCCTCTTGGGCAGCTCCTCCTCCAGGGTATAGATGTCGCCGCGCTTCACAGTCAGCTGGGACCCATCCTCAAACTCCACCTGCGAGGCAGATGCTGTCCTGTGCTCGGGCCTCATTGCCCATGATGCCTGCCCCGAGCCCAAACAAATCAAGATCGGCTGGAGATGCCGGATCCCTCAATGCCTGAAGCTGGCCCTTTTGTCTGAGCCTCTGCAGTCACTTCCTGTGAGAGTCCTGCCCAATGGGTAGGGACAGTCCTGAGGCCTGGGAGAGGGGGGCCGAGTGGAGGCCCAGTGGGTCATGGACTCCACAGCACACCAGGCCAGGGTGAGCTGTCCCACTGCTCTAGCCAAACTCCCTCACCCAGGAGGACAATGCTTGGCCCAGGCTCTCGGAAGCTCCCAAGCAGCTGGAGGCTCCACGTGCAGGCCTGGGCACCGACTCTAAGGGTTCCAAGTGCTGGAGAGAGAAGGGTCAGGGAGCCTCTGGGCAGCCTTGTGCCGCCCTCTGGGACCCCTGCCTCTGGTCTTTCCTTCCAACTTGTGCAGAACAAGGACGGAGACACAAACAGGCGGACGCCGGAGCCCACCCCAGCCCCGGGCAGCAGAGGAATGGGTGAGGAGGTGGGGAGGCCTGATCTTCGACTCCCGGCCTGGATGCTCCGACAGGCGGTCACCCTCGGCCACCCTTGTGGGAGACGAGCCAGCAGGCCTGTCCGAGGAGCTTGTGGGGCTACGGGTGGCCCAGGGTGCTGCCTGGCCAAACGGATAAAAGCCCGCCCAGGGCCTGTCCAGTGGGGGAACATCAGGGCAGAGGGGTCCCCTCATCTAAACCCCCAGCCCCCTGAGAAAGCAAGAGTCACGGACGAGGACGGCCAGCCAGTCTGGCCCGGACCCGGAAGGCTGGCAGCGCCTCGGCCATGCCCCACTGTGGGAGGGCCGAGTCCCTGAGCCGCCGGTTGCGTGTGCGGGGCTGAGCCCACCTCCAGACGGGCTGCTGTGCCCAGCAAGGCCTCTCCCTTGCTACTGGCAGATACTGCACACGAGGATTCAATCACGCGAGAAAAGTAGGCTCCCAGCACGCGGGCATTGAGTCACCCCAGAAAATCAGGCTCCCAGCACATGGGGATTCAGTCACCCCAGAAAAGCAGGCTCCCAGCACACGGGGATTCAGTCACCCCAGAGAAGGAGGCTTCCTCCCAGGAGGAAAAAGCGAGTTCTAGAAACCGAGGAAAGCAGCTCGGGTTTCTAGGTCAGGAAGCCCGGGAGACCCGCTCTAGCTTCCCCGGGGTAAGAAGAGAAGCTCCATGAGGGGCCAGGGCTGACCACCTCGTCCCAGCCCGCGGGCTCCCCTGTGGTCAAGTCACGGAGGAAACGTGGCCCTTAGAGTTACACTGCTTTCCCTGCTGTGGGTCTCTCCCCAGAACCTGGACTCTCGCTGTGAACCCCCAAGGGTGGGCTTTTCATGCCATATTAAAAACCACTTTATTGTTGAGATAACGGTCGCTCAGCGCAGCCGCAAGGGTAACACGGGGAGAGTTCCGGCACCCTGCACCCCGCCCCCGAGGGCAACATCACACGGAGCATTTTTCTAACGTGGTTGGAGGGGGTCACACTTGGGGGGCCCACCTGGGGCGGGCTGTGGAAGCCACAGAGTGTGAGGATCTCGGGGCTCCAACACCCTGGGGACTTCTAGAGCAGAGCCTGTCTGTGTGATCTCTGTGGGCATCGGCAGTGGGTGGGTGAGGAACCTCCTGGAAGCCCGCTGTCACCTGTACCAAGCCCAGGCCAGTGTGGGGTCAGTGGCCACCTCCTGAGTGCCCAGGTGACCAGCTCTGTCCCAGGTGACCAGCTCTGTCCAGGCTCCCTCTCGGGGCGACGTGGGCATACGCCACATGGCTCCAGGGCTGCCTCCGCCGGGCACGACGGTGGTGTCCCCCGGGCCCGTGAGGCACAGAGGCCGTACCACCACCTCACAGGTATCCTGTCGGCCACCACCACGGTTTTCCTTTTCAGAACCTCCACCGGTTTTCTCTCATAACCCCCGTCTGTTTCAGGGATGTGACCCCCACGTCCCCCAGCACTCTGAGGACTATTAAATAATCGTTTAAGCTGTTTGCTGACTGCCTCCATGAGCTGTTTTCTCGGGGGTGAGCTCTTCCTGTTGCTGGCCTTCCTTGGGAGTCTGCTGACATGAGAAAATTCTATGAAGAATGCCCATCCGAGAGGCGGCAACTTCCAGCTTGCCAGCCAGCACACCTGGCACCTTCTGTTTCTTTAAGGGACCCACCGAGAGCTTCCTTTCTCATTTCCAAGCAGGACTAATAATTTATCTACATCTTTTCTAGCATTCTCAGAGGTTTCCCAAAGAAGGAAGAATACCAGCATGTGGTCAGACTGACTTTTCAAAGAACTTTCCACACCCCCTTCTGGAGACACCCACCCTGGACATCTCTCATGGGAGTGCCAGGCTGCAGACCCCTGGCCTCTGAAGGGGCTACTTCGACTGTCCAATCCACATTTTCCCCTCAGAGAGATGTCCTGCAGTCCCGAAGCCCTTCTCTCGAAGGCAGGTCTCGAAAAGAGAAGTGTGTGGTCATTCACACCTCGGCTGCTCACTGGGAGTCCTCTAATCAGACTGCTTCCCAACGGGAGGTCCCTGAGGTGAAATCAGGCAACTCTGCAGTCGGGCCTCGCCACCTTGGATCCCGGATACAGTCTGCAGCGATATTCGATACCCTCACAGAAGAGACGAGCCAAGGCTCATGAGAGGAAAAGAGGATCGCTCCAGTGCGTGGCCCCGAGAACGTGCAGTGAGCGGGAATGTTGTCTGAAGCTGTGAAGATCCAGCGTCCTTTAATCACGGGGACAGAGATGGCCTTACTGTCCCTAGCAAGACTTGATGTTGTTGTTGTAGCTGCTGTTAATTTTCAACTCAGGGCGACCCCAGGTAACAGAGTAGAACTGCCCCATAGGGTTTTCCTAGGCTGTAATCTTTACAGGGTGGGGGGTCCTTCTGGCACAGTGGTTAAAGCACTCAGCGTTACCCGGAAGGTCAGTGGTTTGAACCCACTAGCCACTCTGTGGGAGAAAGACGTGGCAGTCTGCTTGTGTGAAGATTTAAAGCCTCGGAAACCCTGTGGGGCAGCTCTACTCTGTCCTATGGGGTCTCTCTGAGTTGCAATCGACTCCACAATGGATTTGTTTCTTTGGAATCCTTACAGGAGAAAGTCATCATCTTGCGGAACACTGGGGGGGTTCAAACCACCAACCTTTCAGTTCGCAGTTGAGTGCTTCACCATTGCGCCACCAGGGCTCCTACAAGACTCGAGAGCAGCTCACCCAGTTCCCTATGAGAGCTCCCCCCCACTCCTGGCTCAGGCATTTCCAGCTCTAACAGGGAGCTGTGACTGGGATGCCGCTGGAAGGGGCTGTCTAGCTGGTGGCCACCTCCCCGCTCCCCTGCATCAGGCAGGGCTAGTCCACTCCAGCAGGCCAGGCTGCTCCAAGCGGCTCCCAAAGGCTGCGCAGTACACATCCTGGGTGGAATCTGAGGCTGGTGGCATCCGGCCTCCCAAAGGCAGGCACAGAATCGGGGGCCCGGGGTGGGGGCAGGAGAGCAGCAGGATTCCAGGGCACAAGTGAAGCCAGGCTGCGACAGGTAGGGGAGGCTGGGTTACAGACCCTCCTGCCCAGATCCTACAGTCACTCCTGGGCCCGAGCTGTGCTGAAGTGGGGGGAGAGGTGGAGAGAAGAGCCGGCAGACTGGCCATGGTGGGGACTACCTGCCACCCTTTCCTGCCCCACGTGGTGGGGGTGCAAGTTGGCACTGCCGCCGCGCTGAGCTAAACACAATCCTACCAGCTGCGGGGGACTGGATTCTGACTCATGGCGAGCCCCTGGGTGTCAGAGCAGAACTGGGCTCCACAGAGCTCTCAGTAGCTGATTTCTCTAAAGTAGATACGCAGGTCTTTCTTCTGAGGCACCTCTGGGTGGACTCAAACAGCCAACCTTTCAGAACCGTTTGAACCTCCCGCCCCCCAACCCCAGGGACACCACATGAGCTGTGGACGCCTCCCCCAGTGGCAGGGCCCAGCAGCAGTGGGAACGTCGGGATCATCTGCGGCTGAGGTTTTCTGTGCAGGCACGTTCAATCAGCCAGCTCACTGAGGGCTGACGGCCTGGACCCCTCACCCGTGGTATCCTGGATGTAGGGTGCAGCCACATTCTCAGGCGGACAGGCGAGGCTGGAGGGTCCTGCCAGAGCAGCCAGCTGGAAGAGGCCAGGCCGGAAAGCACGAACGCCACGGACGACAACGGGCCCAGTGGTCACGGGACCCCAGCGCTCCTGTGATCTCAGGGCAGTGCAAAGCCATGGGTGTCATCATCGGGGGGCGTCGAGCAATTCCGACTCAGGGACCCCACGTGACACAGCACAACTGCGCAGTAGCGTTTCCTAGGCCGTAATCTTCATAAAGACAGACTGCCAGGCCCTTCTCCCAGGGAGCTGCTTTTGAGTTTAAATCGCCAACATTTCAGTTAGCAGCCACGTGCTTAACCATTGCACCACCAAGGTTCCTTCAAAGCTTTGGCGCCGCCTCCTAACTATGGCCTCGGCACAGCTGTGAGGTTGCTCCTTTTCTCCTTCACTTTCGCCTTTAAGGGCTGAACCCAAATGTCCACAAAGAAACATGGGGTGAGGCAGCCAGCGGAGGTCAGGATGGCTCTGCCGACTTGCTGTGTGATCTCGGGGGATCCTGAGCACTCCTCTGAGTCTTCATTCCCCACCCTCACAGGCCCGCCAAATCAGGGCAGGGGGAGAAAAACAGATGTGAGCAGAAAAGAGTGATCCAGCTCACTTATGAAGATACACGGAAAGAACATAACCACCAGTGGCTGTCGAGCTGACTCCGACTCATGGCGCCCCCCGTGTGTCAGAGCAGAACTGCCCCACAGGGTTTCAGTGGCCGATTTTTCAGAAGCAGACCACCAGGCCTTTCTTCCAAGGTGCCTCTGGATGGCTCAAACTGCCGGCCTTTCCGTTAGCAGCTGAGTGTGTTCACCGTTTGCACCACTGGGCCCTCCAAGATGTGGGTGACTTTTCTAAAATTCCACATTTTAAAATAATTTCTCTGACTGCCAAGTGTGATTCCCACAATTAGGAAAGAAACCCACACCCATGTCTACATTTTTGAAAATCAGGAAGACATCCCTAAAAAAGAAAATGTCACACAGCCAAGGTCCCTTCTAGCAGAATCAGAGGACAAGCAGAGGCCCTGCCCCACACCCCAACCTCAGCACTGGTGGCACCAGTCGACCCGACACAGAAGCAGCTGCCACCTGCCTGGGACTCTTGCTTCTCTGGGCACCTGGGAAAACAGGGCTGATGAGGCTTCCAGGGCTCACCTGATAGACGTGGCTGGTCACCGAGGAGATGAACTTGGCCTTGTAGATATTGCCGTCTGCCCACCGCAGCTCCACCACCTCGCCCTCAGGAGGGGGTCCCAGGCGGACGCAGTCTCTACTCTGCAGACAGAGGACAGCTAAGTGAGGCCCTCACATCTCTCTAACCCGATTACAGCCTCCCCGCCGCCTGCCCTGCAGCCATGGACGCTAGAGCGAAGGGAAGGTCTTCAGACTCCTGCTCGAAATCACACTGCAGGCTGACAACAAACAAGGACTGGGAGGCCCCAGTGGTTTGCCTCGTTGTAGGCTGGGTAGGACTGCAGAAGCGGAGAGTGCTTCCCCGCCTAAGGCCTAGGCTGGTCCACCCGGTCACAGGTGACCAGGTGCTCAGAGGGACGGCCCTTCCCCACCCCGTCCCCTGGAGGGATAGGTTCCCCTCCCGCCCCCCACCCCGGGAGGGCTGGCCCCACCTGCTCCCTCTGCCCCCCCACCCCCCACTGGCTCACTGTGATGCTCTCCGGGTAGAGGTTGTCGCTGTACGACCCGTCGTCAAAGTTCACTTCGTACAGGGTCTGTGTGGCGACGCCGATGACACGGCAGCGGTAGTAAAGCCCATTGCGGTTCTTGGTGATGACCATCTGGCCTGCGGTCACGGCCCGCTGGAACTGGGCCTGCGGGGGGAGGGCGGCCTTCAGAGGGGCTGGCGCGGGCGGCGGGCAGGGGGTGCGGGCTGGCACTCACCGTATGGGCGCCCGTCTTGTGCTTGAAGCAGGTGATGGAGACGACGTAGGGCCAGTCGTCCGGCTCCATGAGGACGCCGGCGGCATGGGCGCATGTCACGTGGAAGGACGTGGAGCAATGCTCGTAGGAGCACTGGATGCAGGCGCCCGACACCCGCTTCATGCGCTTCCGGCAGTACACGCACTTCTGCGGGAACAGGTAGCAGGGTCGGGGCGCTGGCTGGGGATGCTGCCCCGGGCCAGGAGCCCCTACTGGGCCCCAGGACTATCTCCTGGGAACGACCTCCAGACCCAGCACTGTCTCCTAGGAATGACCACCGAAACCTGGCAATGTCTCCTAGAGAAGCCCTAGACCACAGACCCAGCACTATCTCCTAGGAACGAACCCCTAGACCCTGGACCCAGCACTGTCTCCTAGGAACGAACCCCTAAATCCCAGACCCAGCACGGTCTCCTAGGAACGACCCCCAAACCCAGCACTATCTCCTAGGAACGACCCCCAGACCCTAGCACTGTCTCCCAGGAACGACCCCCAGACCCAGCACTGTCTCCTGGGAACGACCCCCGGACCCCAAACCCAGCACTGTCTCCTGGGAATGACCCCCCAGACCCCAGCACGGTCCCCTAGGAACGAGACCCGACGGGGTGGGGGGGGAGTGCGGCTATGGGCTGCTTAGAGGCAGGGACTAGGGAAGGAGCCCTGGGGGAGCAATGGTTAAGCATACGGCTGCAAACCAAGAAGTGGATGGTTTGAACTCACCCAGCAGCACGAGGGAAGAAAAGGCCTGGCAATCTGCTCCATAAAGATTACAGGCCAGGAAACCCTACAGGGCAGTTCCACTCTGTCGCGTGGAGTCACCATTAGTTGGAATCGACTCAGCGGTACCCAGCGACAGAGGTTGGGGGCGGAGGGAATGGGGAAAGGCTGCTAATGGGCATGGGGCTTCTTTTTGGAGTGGTGAGAATGTTCTGGAGTTAGGTAGTGGTAAGGGTTGCATAACTCTGTGAATGTACAAAAAATCACTGAACTGTTCGCTTTAAAACGGTTAAGATGGTGAATATTATGTTGTCAATTTTATCTCAAATAATAATAATGCACTCGAAAGCAACCTCCTTACAGCAGGCGAGACGCCCGCCTGGGCCCCTGCCCCTCTCTGCCCGGTGTCAGCACCCAGGTGCACGGGAGGGCCCTGAGGAGCTGCTGGTGGCAGCCTCACCACAGGTCCCCCAGCTGGCTCGCAGCCGCCAGGCCCCGGGCCCTGCAGCCGTCATCCTGAGCATTTAATAAGCGGGCCCTTATCTCTCCATAAACTGTGTTCAAAAGCCAGAGAAGCACAGCGGCAAAGGGTGCTGCAGGAACATGGCGCCTGAGGCTGATCGAAGGCAACGCTGGCTCATTATTAAATTGTCAATACCTCACTCTCTCCTGGCAGGGACAGCGCTGATATGCAACAGGCCGGATGCTGCTGAGTGGAGTGGCGGCATTAACCCTCACCAAGAGGGCCCCCAGTGAGCTTGGCCAGGCCGGAGTGGCTGCCTCTGAGGCCAAAAGGTGCCTGACACCGGGCGGTAGGGGGCGCGGGCAACAGAGGAGAAACCATGGGAAGGTAGGGAAGGACCCATGGGGAGGCGCAGGGGAAGGGGACATTCAGAAGCTTCCAGAGACTTCCAGAGACACCTGGGACTTGAGGGCTGGGGGAGCCCAGGGGAAACCTGACGCCCAGTCGAGAGTGACCATCTGCAGCCCGACACGCACAGTCCGTTTCCATCCCTGTGGGCTGGCAGCTCGACATCCCGGGTGCCCACGTCATGAAGAACGTGAGCCGGGCCCTCCCGTGCGGTCTGTCAGGGGCCAGCGTCCAGCACACGGGGCAGCGCAGCCCCAGCTGCAGTCACGCACAGCTGCCTCCACTGACAACGGGCTAGCGGCAGGCCGAGAGATGAGGTGTCCGTGGCACCCCGTGCCCTGGGGGTGCATTCACGGTGGGCCAGGAGCAGGGTCAGCTGCTCTTGGCTCCCCAGGTGAGCGGAGTTACATCCCAGCGTCCTGGACTGAAGGGTCTAAACACACTGTCCCATGGATCCACCGGGGCTGTCTGCTCCAGAGCTCCTGGGCCCGTGTGGCTCGCAAGGCTCACGTGTACCAGGTGGTCCTTCTGTCAGCCCTCACGGGGTGGGACTGGGTGGGTCTCCAGGGCCTGATTTCCATGTTCTGGCCTTGGTCTCCTTCAGGGTGCCTGAGTCGTCAGAGGCTGGAGAGCAGTGGCGTCCGTGCAGAGTGTGGTCTGGGAGGAAGCTGAGGGCCCTTGCCTGCCGGGACTGCAGACTCACCACATGTGGGCACCACGTCTGCTGCCCTCTGCAGCCTGGGCAGGACGGCTGCCACCAACCTGCTTGGTAAATGCACCCTGGTGCCCGATGGGGGCAGGGGACGAGTCCTCTCCCTCTGGAGCCTGACACATGGGCGCCCTAAACCACACAGCACAGCTAAGTGGGAAGGGGGGACCAGTCCCCCCCCAGCTGTGTCTCCTCCTGCCCCATGGGGCCAGTGCTGCACCCGCAATGACCTCAGTCCCCGCCCAGACCTCGGTGTTCCCCCAGGAAATTTCTGGCATGCTCCCACAGCTGCCAGGAACCATTCCAGCCTGGCGCAGTGGGTGGTCCCATCTGCCGCCAACCTGGTTCGGCTGGGGGCTGACCCCAGCTCACATCGGACCTGCCCGGACACCCTGGCGCCCAGAGCAGTGTAGGCGCCCGGCAGGCAGGAGTTAAGTGCCTGCTTCCTTGTGTGGCTCCATTAAGCAGTACAAGTGGGCCTCGTGTAAAAGGATTTTTAATTCATTGTTACAAGCGCCAGTAATGAACAAGCTGTGCGCCACAGACGTCGGCCGATTCACAAAGCGTGGGGGGAGGACTTATCGCTAGCACCGCACCGTCACTCCACCTGAGTAATGGTGCCTTTTACGCCACGTTGGGGCCGAGCTGCCGGCCCCGAGGGGCTCATCCCCTGGCCACGCTGGGTGAGCTGCACTGCTACACGGGCTGCATCTGTGGGCTCTGAGCGCGCCACCCCAGCACCCCCGTTCCTGGGCCTGTGGACAGGCATCACTGTATGGGGAGCCCGGGCTCTGTGGTGGGCGCTGCCCCATGCCACTTGGTGGTCTTGGCTGGGGCCCACTCCCAGGGTGATGCAACATGTCCCAGAGGCTCGAGAGGTCACACCTTCATTCCCTGCCATCACCCTGGCAGTAACACCCACAACAGGGCAACCTGCTCGCACACGTGCAGGGTCTGAGCCCCACGTGGGCACCTGACTCTCCCTCGTCTCTCCTCGGGCTGCATCCCACCTGGCCCTGGCAGAAGGCCTGGTTGCAGGAGCAGCTAAGCGAAGCTGCAGGCAGGTGTGGGGAGGCCCCAGAGGCCTCAGGTGGCTGGGAGCCAGAGAGGGAGTCACCAAACCTGGGCCAGGGGAGCTGCTTCCTCTGAGCCCCAGCTCCTCGCCTACTGAGTGGGCCAAATCCTGGTGTCTCTGACGCGCAGTGCGACTGGAGTTCCGACAAAGAGGATGCAGTGACGACAAGCCCCAGGGCCACCACCCACGCTGACGGTATAGTGAGCACTCATCCGGCCAGCGAGGCAGGGACTGCTGCCACCCACCGCACAGATGGAGGCTGAGGACAGGGAGGCTCAGGGGTCTGCCAGCACTGAGCTCACCGTTGGTGCTCATGGGCTCCGAGGTATGGCTGCTGGCACCACAGGGGGCCCCCTAGTAGGCGGGCTGGACACCATGACCGGGAATGGCCTGCACTCTAATGAGGGGCTCATGGCTCATGTATCCGAGGGGCAGTCCCATGCCCACGTCCGCGCAGCTGCACTAGCTCAAGCTCCATGGTTCAGCGGTGAAACAAATGAAGGAGGGGGCGAGCGGGGCGTGCGGTCACTTCTCGTCATGCAGAGAAGGTGGGGCCGGCACCCGCTGCTCCATGGTGCAAAGGACACCCGCGGAGAGGTGTGTGAGGAACCAGGAGACTCACTGCCTTGGGGAGGGAGGCTGGTTCTCACGGGGCACCTTTGCATCTCCTGACCGCGCGCCCTGTGTCTGTGTGACCCGTTCCAAAATAAACATTTGCTAAAACTAACACTATATGAAGAACGGGGCATCAGGACTGGATGAAGACTCATTAACAACCTGCAATATGCAGATGACACAGCCTTGCTTGCTGAAAGTGAAGAGGACTTGAGGCACTTACTGATGAGGATCAAAGACCACAGCCTTCAGTATGGATTACACCTCAACATAAAGAAAACAAAAATCCACCTCAAAACCGGACCAATAAGCAACACCATGATAAACGGAGAAAAGACTGAAGTTGTCAAGATTTCATTTTACCTGGATCCACAATCAACACCCATGGAAAAGCAGCAGTCAGGAAATCAGACAACACGTTGCATTGGGCAAATCTGCTGCAAAAGACCTCTTTAAAGTGTTGAAAAGCAACGATGTCATCTTGAAGACTAAGGTGCACCTGACCCAAGCCATGGTGTTTTCAGTTGCCTTCTATGCATGCGAAAGGTGGACAATGAATAAGGAACACCAAAGAAGAATTAACACCTTTGAAATGTGGTGTTGGTGAAGAATATTGAATATACCATGGACTGCCAAAATAACAAACAAACCTATCTTGGAAGAAGTACAACCAGAATGCTTCTTAGAAGCAAGGATGGCGAGACTACGTCTCATACAGTTTGGACATGTTATCAGGAGGAACCAGTTTCTGGAGAAGGACGTCATGCTTGGTAAAGTAGAGTATCAGCAAAAAAGAGAAAGACCCTCAACGAGATGGACTGCCACAGTGGCTGCAGTGATGGGCTCAAGCTTAACAACGATCGTGAGCATGGCTCAGGACCCGGCAGTGTTTCATTTTGTTGTACATCGGGTCGCTATGAGTCAGAACCGACTCGACGGCACCTAACAACAAGAACAAATTTAACGCTCATCTCGTCTGCTTCCTCACTGCGACCCTTGGTCCACGGAGAAGTGCCAAGAGTTTGGCGCAGGACTTGGCATTTTTAGCCCTGGACGGAGGAGCCAGGAGCTCTCCGCCTGGCCCCAGGTGGGCAGGCAGGTCCATCTCAAACGCACATGGCAGGGCCCGGCCCACACTCGCGGAACCTCATAGGACGTCACGGAACGCACGGAAGGAGACACTCACCAGCTTCCACCGCTGCTCAGGGATGGCACTGATGTCCACAGGGTGGCGCTCCATCACATTCAGGAACCGGGCCTCGGGGACTGCAATGGCGCAGATGACGTGGATCCACCTGGAAGGTGGGGGGAGGGGTGTGTTGTCGGGGTCATCCAGGTGCGCCTCCTTGTGACACTCAGTCCAGCACCCAGCACAGCCAGCAGCCAGGCCAGCAGCAGGGGGGCAGTAGTGGGGGGGGATGCGCCCGCTCCGACCCTGACGTTGGATTAAATGGCGAGGACTGTGCTTAAGGGACTGTCTCGTAGCCCAGGCAGTCGCTGTCTCCCCTCGTCCTCGGCCACCCCACCCATGGGACAGCCGCACGGAGGTGACAGCTGATAATCGCTGACTTTCACGTCGTCCCTGGCTTCTTGCCACCCACGGACCAGGAAAGCTGGGAGCCCAGAGCACCGGCCAGGGCCACACTCCTGGTAAAAGCAGAGGCAGGACTCTGACGGGGCAGGGTTCTGGAAGGCTGGGACGCCCGCGGCGGCTCACCCACCTCCTGTCGGTGGTCATCTGCAGCGCTCCGCCCCGGAGATTGCATAGGCAGCATTCCTGCAGGAGGAGACACCACCGTGAGCGGCTGCACAGAGCCCCCACCCGACCCGGGGCCGGCTGCCACCCACCCGCACCAGCCCCCGGTTACCCCACGGGATCGGGGTCGGGCCAGTCTTGCCCCCCATAGTGGGCAGCTTTTCAGAGCCCCCCTACCCTGCCACGGGGCGCGAATTACCGCAGTCCAGGCGTGGGCCGTGCACCGGGAACACGTCCAGCCTTCATTGACCAGCTCAGGGCGGATACCGTAACAACCTGAAAGATGGGGTGCTGAGACACGGGGCTGGCACAGGGCTGCACGCAGTGCTGACGGTCTTCTGGAGCCCGCCCAGCCTCGCAGGGGTGCACTCTCACCACCCTCTGTCCTTGACGCAGGCCACTGAGTGCTGCGGGGAGGGCAGTCTGGGGTGCGGGCTGGGAACGGCTCATTTGGAAGTGGGATGCAGGAGGGCGCAGGAGGGCCCCTGCAGAGTCGACGCCCTCAGCCAGGGCAGCACCTCGGCATCCCAAGGACAGCTCCACCCAGCTGAGCTAGAAGGGCCATGTTCTGGACACTCAGCTGTGGGCCGTGGAGGAAGGTCTGGGCCGGGCTCTGAGGGGCCGAGGGAGGCTGAGACTCAGTGCTGAGCAGGCAGTGGTTTGACACTGGAATGCGGGCCTTGTGCAACCTGGGCCAGAGGGGACCGATGAGTAGGCCTGGGCCATGCTCTGTGCAGAACTGTACTCCTCAGCACAGGCCGGAGGGAGGCCGGGGTCACAGAGGTGGTCTTCTGAGAGGCGTGGCCCCAGCTTAAGGAAACCCGGACAAAGCACCAAGGAGGGGAGGGTGGGGGCGGGCTCTGCCTCACCAGAGGCCACCGCCCACCAGACACGGCTCTGGGAGCACGAAGGGGCGCTCTGCTGGCAGGGGGTGGGCACAGCTGGCTTTCTAAGTCCTGCAATAGAGGCTGGCCCTGTCCAAGGAAGTGTGGCTGCACCCTGGGTGCCCAGAGGCCCCACTGAGCAACATGAGAGGGGGAAGGGGGCTGGCAGAGAGGCTCCCTGCTCCACCCCTGGGTGCACCCAGGCAAGCTTGTGCAAGACGGGGGCTGCCCCCTAACGCCAATCCTCAATGGAGACGTGTGTACTGAGCTGAGTGGGGCCAAACTCAATGCCTACAAGGCTGAAACCAAAGTTGTTTCACCATCTGATGAGCCGTGACCTCTGGCCTCCCGAGGTCGGTCAGCGAGCACTCACCTCTCACCTGGCCTCTCCTCTCCCACCTGGCTGTGCCAGCCTGGGCAGCTGTACCCCTGCGCCACCCTCTGCCCTGAGAGTACACCTCACGCCCAGGCCCAAGAAATCAGAGCGACAGCTCCCGGCCAGGAGGCAAAATTACCCCGTGGGCCACCACCGAAGGGGAGGACGGTGGACAGAGATCTGGGGCCGCTCCCTCAGTCAGGAGCACGCCAAATTAAACGTCTCCAAGGGCACTCTTCCTGCTCCGGGATTCAATCTTGCATGCGGCCTCCACCACCCCCGTGACCGGGAAAGGGGCAGACACCATTTCCTTGTCTGGGGCTACGCGGGCCTGAAGGGTCTGGGGAGAGCAGCTATCAGCAGCAGAGACAAATCACGCAGGCTAAGCAACCTCACATCTTATCTCGTCCATCAGTTCGTAACTTTGGCCCCAGATCCCAGAGTGTGGAAATGTTGGCGTGCCTGGCAGGCACCTTATCTCCTCCTGCCGCCTCCTGGATCCAGGAGGGGGAGCAGAGCTCACAGAACCTTCCAGAAGGAGGCTGACCGGGCGAGCAGCCATCAGGAGTGGCCTGCCTTGGCCAGGGGGCAGGGCAAGGACTCTAACCCTCGAAGGCCACCTTGTTTTGCCAATTGGCAGAGCAAGATTTCAGAGAGAGCAGGGTTTCCAGATAGCTCTGGAAACACGTCGCTGGTCCTTCCGGGCACTCCCGGCCCATTTCTCACTGTGGTCAGTGTGGCAGGCATGAGTGGCAGGGATGGAGGGGACAGGAAAAGCCCTGCCCCTCAGTCTGCCCACCCACCTGAGTCCCCCAGACACTCCCGGCCTCTACACTGCCCTCCCTCCAGGCTGGTGTGGGCCCCTGACCTGTAAAGTGGCCCAGAGTGCTGGGCCTTTCTCCTCCATGACTGAGCCTTCTCCACCCAGGGGTTGAGCGGAGCCCCCGACCCCATTACAGGAAGGATGGAGGAAATTAGAAATCGGGGGACCCCCACGGAGGCCTCACCGAGCCGTGCCCGGTGACACCGTGTCCTGCAACCCCGAAGGGCGGCCCGGGGGCCCACGTGAAGCACCCTGCCTGGGCCCCGCGCGGAGCCGTGCCCTCTGGCCCGCGGCACTCACTGGCGTGGACCTGCAGGCAGCACTTGGCGCAGGCGATGAGCAGGCTGGTACCGTCGTCACCGATGTAGGAGCTGGCGGGCAGCGGCTCGGTGTTCTCGCCACTCGCGGTGAAACACATCTCGGGGACCAGCGGCCGTGTCTTTTGGCCGCTTTTGGAGAGTGGCGCGGCGGCCGTGGGGCCTTCCCCAAGCATGGCCTGGGGTGTCTCCTTCTCAGGCTGTAGGGACTGCGGGGAGACGGATCTGCTGTCAGCGGGGCACCCAAGAGCCTGGTGCAGGGGAACCTCCCTAGGATGCCAAGTGGCACGCTACCCCCAACTCTGAGGCCACCCCTGGGTGGGTGGGGGGCACCAGTGGTACTGACCAAACCAGAACCCTCTCCGTGCTGGGGCCCCCTGTGGCCCTCCCTCCTGGTCCCCTCTCCCCGGCCTCCAGAAAACCCTGCTGGCTCCAACTACAAACGCCCACGGCCTCCTCCTCACCTCCACGGCCCCACAGTCCCTGCTCCGGGTAGCCACCAGCGGCTCCTGCCCACTTAGCAACATGTCCAGGCTCCCTGCCGACACATGCTGGCCTGCTGTCCTCCCCCGGGGTCGCTCCCCCTCGCTTTCTCGCCCGCCTGGGCACATGGCCTCCTCCTGCTGCACGTCGGGTCCTGCCTCAGGCAGTGCCGTCTGCCGGGAGCGCTCAGATCTCTGTGCCTGTCTGGCTGCAGACGCCCCTCCACGGGACTGGTGCTGTCTGTCTTCACGGTGCTGACCATCACCTGGGCAACTACCTGGGCTCTTATTTTGGCTGTCCCCTCCAACCTGCACCCCGTGACGGCTATATACCCCGTCTCAGGACGGTGACTCATGGAGCCACCCCTAAGGAAACTTTTTTTCATAAAAAGCTTTGTTTTATTGTTATAGTTTAAGTGAAAGTTTACAATTCAAGTTAGTCTCTCACACAAACATTTATACACACATTGTTATGTGACCCTAGTTGCTCTCCTTATACTGTGATAGCACCCTCCTTTCCACCCCGGATTTCCTGTGTCCATTCACCCAGCTCCTGACCCTCTCTGCCTTCTCATCTCACCTCCAGACAGGAGCTGCCCATTTAGTCTCATGTATCTATTTGAGCTAAGAAGCACACTCCTCACAAGTATCACTTTATGTCCCACAGTCCAGTCCAATCCCTGTCTGAAGAGTTGGCCCTGGAAACTGTTTTAGTTCTGGGCTGATAGAATCCAGGGGCCAAGCTTTATGGGGTCCCTCCAGTCTTAGTCGGACCACTAAGTCTGGTCTTTTCACTAGAATTTGAGTTCTGCACCCGCTTTCCTCCTGCTCCAGGGGAAACTTGCTGAACACACGAATGACTGAATGACTACACGGGCGAGGAGACAGTGATGACAATACTCTCTCCGTGGCGCAGGGATCCAAGCGAGCCACGCCCAGCCTCCCCTGGGAGCCCCAGCCACAGTCTGCCCGTGAGATGGCAGTGGTCTCAGAGACGAGCTCCCCAGACCCCAGAGGCAGGGAGGGTCCGCTTCCGTGAGCCCCGGCCACAGCTCAGGTGTGCACCGAGGAGACGTCTGGGCCCTGCTTGGGACCCAGAGAGGCAGGGATACACGAGCAGTGTGGACACCCAGGTGCTTGACTTGGGGGGACTGAGCCCTCCCTACACGTGGTTGAGGCAGAAACACACACACCAGGCCCCTGGGGATTGTAGCCCATCAGGGAGCAGAGGTGAGAGCTCTGTGACCTGCACGCCCACAGCTCTGCATGCCTACAGCCCCACACACCCACCTGGCCCTGCTTGCCCACAGCCCTGCACACACCCCCATGTCCTGCACATACACCCACCTGGCCCTGCACACACATCCATACCCTGCACACACACTCACCTGGCCCTGCACACCCACAGCCATGCACACCCATAGCCCACATGCCCCTGCACACTCACCTGGCCCTGCATGCCCATGCCCTGTACACAAAGCCACCTGGCCCTGCATGCCCACAGCCCTGCACACACACACACACCTGGCCCTGCACGCCCATGCCCTGCATGCCTACAGCTCCACACACCCACATGGCCCTGCACGCCCATGCCCTGCACACACACCCACCTGGTCCTGAATGCCCATGGCCCTGCACACCCAGGCCCTGCACACACACCCATACCCTGCACACCCATCCACGCCCAGCATGCCCACGCCCTACACACACACCCACGCCCTGCATGCTGCCCATGCCCTGCATGCCCACACTCTGCACACACACCCACACCCTGCACGCCAATGCCCCTGCACACTGCCCATGGCTTGCATGCCCACACCCTGCACACATACCCATGCCCTGTACGCCCATGCCCTGCACGCCCATGTGCCTGGTGATGCCTGGGGTGCCAGGGAAGCCCTGGCCTGCGCCTGGAACCATGACTAAAGCATGTCTGTGCTCATTTCCACCCAGGTGGCCACGGTCAGCCCAGCAGTTCTCACTCATGAGGGACAGCGAGGGCAGGGCACGACCACTGACACCAGACGCAGGGGCACCAGTGGCCGACCCCCAGAGCTCTGGGACTCGGCAGTCGCTGCCTACGCAGCCCACTCATAACGTCAGTCACTATGGCTCCGCTTAGCAACTGCTGTTAAGAAGACCTGCATCTTTAACCAGAGTTCCCAGACTGTGACGCCCAGAAGCTTCTCCGGCAACACACGGGGGCTGTGCCCGGAGTGGACACCGAGAGTGTATCCTACTGTCTCGGGAACCAGAAGGCGACGCCTCGTCTGAGACATGGGTCCCGGCAGCTCTGGGGCAGAACCGTGACAGGTTCCCCACCCTCGGCTCGGGCACCCAGACCCTTGTCTGCTCTGGCTACCCCAACCCCAGAGCACAGGCCTGGGGTGTGAGGTCCACCCCAGTGGCTACACTAACACGTGCAGGGCGTCAGGCTGGGAGCCGGGATGCACAGGACTCAAGATGCGGCATCTAGGGCCGACAAACACGGTGGGGCTGCCCCATGGGCACAGGCATGCAGGGGCGGGGAGGCAGGCTGGGACAGTGGGCCGGGAAGGTTTCCTGGAAGAGGTGGCCTTAAGACTGAACAGAAATCAGCCCTCAAGGCAGGGTGACTGGGGTGCGGCGAGCTGAGTGGTGGGGGCAGATATCACAGCAGGTGAGGGGGCGTGTGGCTACATTGGGGGCTCACGCCCCACCCTGTGGGTGTGGAGAGCCCCAAAGGGCTTCCAGCCCAGGTTGGGCACAGTGGGGCTGCCTCCCCAACACCCACCTGGCTGCAGTGAGCAGAGCAAGAAGGGGGCGGGGGCAGCCATCCAGGCTGGAAGGAAAAGGCTGGAAGGCAGGCTGTGGCTGGGGAGGGAAGGACTTGAGATACAGACGAAAAATGGAAGGACCTGGCGCCTCACGGCCCAGGAGGCCTGGTGTCCAACTCAAGTGACAGACGTGGGAAGGGCTCGTCTGGAAAGAGCGCCAGGCACGGGAAACTGGGCCTGGGCACAGAGCAGACATTAGGCACGGCCAAAGGAGACACAGCAGGGACCCCAGGCACGGGACACTGGACCTAGGCACACAGTGGGTATCAGACATACCAACAGAGATGCGTCGGGGACCCCAGGCACGGGACACTGGGCCTGGGCACACAGTGGGTGTCGGACACGCCAGCGGAGACGCAGGCGGGGACCCCAGGCACGGGACACTGGGCCTGGGCACACAGTGGGCGTCGGACACGCCAGCGGAGACGGGGGGTGGGGACCCCAGGCATGGGACACTGGGCCTGGGCACAGAGTGGGCATCAGGCATGCCAGCAAAGACACGGGCAGGGACCCCAGCTGCAAGGTGGACTCTGCTCTGCCCCAGCCCGCCCCTCAACACTGTGCGAGCACACTCGGAGCTAGACAGGCCTCCAGGCCCCATCCACATCATCCCTCAGCCTGAAGATGCAGCATGGGCACCAACTGCGACCCGATCGGCTGTCCAGCCTCAGGCTGGGTGGAGTCTCTGGCTGGACAGCAATCCGTGGCTCCTCCCTGGGCCCCTCCATGCCGCACACCACTCCCCTTCGTGAGCTTTGTCTGCAGAAACGCATGTTGGTAAGCTACCTTCCTGCAAGACTCAGAAGCTGGCGCGCTCCCGGCAGCCCCACGGGCAGACCCCTGGCTGCGCCCGCCACCCTGCGGAGGGCTCCGCCTTGCCCCAGCCGCCACCCTCAATAGTAGGTGGGCACGGGGCTGCCCCGCTCCAGCTGCGGCTCTAGACTGCGATCCGCGGTCCTTCATCAGCCCTCCTCAAATTTCTCTCCTCTCTTGGTGTTTTTTCTTTTTTAGACCAGAATCTGACCCCAACTCATGATGACCCTGTGAGACAGAGCAGAACTGCCCCATAGGGTTTTCTCGGCTGGAATCTCTATGGAAGCAGATCATCAGGTCTTCTCTCCTAAAGAACCACTTAGTGGGTTTCAACTGCCGACCTTTCTGTTAGCAGCTGAGCGCTTAACTGTTGCACCACAAGGGCCTTCCTTTATTAAAAAAAAAAGAAGTTTTGGCGAAATATATATAACAAAACATCTGCCGTTTTCCAACCACTCTCAGGCGCACACTCCAGGGACGTCAACGGCGCTCGCCACATTCAGCCATCACTACTATCTGTCTCCAGATTCTTCCAGCCCCCACACAGACACTCACGCCCCCGAAGCAGTACTGGGGGTTCTCTGGAGGCAAAGCGAGGGCTGAGCAGGAGCAGACAAGCCCCCAAGCCCAGTGGCACCCACCTGGCTGTAGGGGTAGAAGAGGGTGCAGACGGCACAGTAGGGCTTGGTCAGCGCAGCCACCGCGTTGAACTTCCTCTCCGCCTGGAAGTTGGCTGCTTTGTTCTTCCACTGCAGCGACAGCAGTGACTTCAGGGCCTCGGAGTCACTCATCTCCTCCTCCCCGGAGAAAGGCAGCGTTTCTGGAATCAAACGGGCAGGGCCGGCGGGGACGAGGGGGAAGGGAGGCAGCGGAGGGAGACAGAAACTCAGTCCCATTCAGTCTCGCCCAACAGAGCCCGTGAGCCAGGGAGGCCGACGGCCACGTCCACGTGGACAGGTCCCCATGGCCTGGCCACCTCCCAGCCTCTGATGCCCAGGTGTCATCATGCCGCCCCCTACCCTCTGTCCTCCAAAGCCAGTTGCCATTAAGTCAACCCCGACCCACGGCGACCCATGTGTGTCAGAGTAGAACTGAGCTCCAAAGGGTTTTCAGTGGCTGATTTTGGGGAAGATCGCCAGGCCTTACTTCTGAGGCACCTCTAGGTAGACTGGACCCTCCAGCCTTTTTGTTAGCAGCCGAACACATTAACTGTTTGCACCACCCAGGAATGCCTCAGCTCTAAAGGCTTCCAGAAAAGCCCTGAGTCTGCCTTGGGACGGAGTCCTTTGCCGTCTCCCGGTCCCTGGCCCACCCCTCCTGCCACCTGAGAGCTCCTCGCTGTGCCTCACCCCCTCCCACACCCGTCCTGGGGACAGCTCTCCATGATGCTCTGCCTGTAAGGCTCCTTTCTGGGGCCTGGGGCCTGGGACCCCGCTATCCTGTTTCATTCCCAAAGGGGCACATTGGGGCGGGGGTGGGGGGGGGCGCCGTGGCCCACATGAGGCCCTGAGGCACGTTCTGGAAACAGCGGCCACACCAGTCACCCCGAGTGTAAAGCGGGAGCTGCCCACTGTGCCTGCCCAAGGGGACACAGGGCCATGGCCAGGGCCCCGCACACGGTTCCGCCTGCTTCTAGAATGCCGCCCGTCCCCGGGCTTCAAGTTAGACCAGAAGGAAGCCACCCAGGCCATTTTCAAATCCTATGTACATCTTAAACGGTAGGCTGGCACAGAGGATGAGAAACTGGCTCAGCAGGGTTTCTATATAGAAGATAGCGGCTCTTGGCTGACTGTTAGACAGAAGATTCTCCGTGCCCCCACCCCAACTCGGGCCTCGCTGGAGCCTTGGTTATGGCCCCTCCTGGCCCTGACACTGTGTGCAGCCACCAGGAGGAGCCCAGGACGTCACTCGCAGCCTGGCATCACCACCCGCCACGGGCAGCCTGGCCAGCAGGTCAGAGCACAGAGCATCCCTGACAACAACTGCTTGCAGGGTGCCAGCCGCACGCTGGGGTCTCCCTCAGCCACGCGGTGGATGTGGCCGGGGGCAGGAACCCCGAGAGACGAGCCAGAGCAGGGTGGTTCCCACGGACACCACTACAGGGTGACACCACGACACGTCCACTCCCACGAGGGTCTCCTGCGAGCCCCTCCCCAAAAAGAGGTCAAGGCCCGGCCTCTTCTGACCCAGAGGCTGGAGCGGCACCTGGACAAGCCCTGCCCGCCCCACATGCCCGCGCTCACCCTCATCACTCGAGGCCCCCTGCTTGACCACCGACAGCGGGGACCGGGTGGGCGGCCTGCCCAGCGGGTGGCGCCGGCTCTTCTTGATCTCCATTTTCAACTTTGGGAACGTGGACGGCGCCTGGAACACACAACGTGCTGCCTCTGGAGGCACCGCCGCAGCACGGAGCTCAGCGGGGCCGACGGCTCCCAGCCCTCAGCATCCTCGGCCCAGTCAGCCCACGCATGTGTGGTCCAAGGGCGTCAGGGGAGGCCCTCACACCCCGGCCCCATGCCTACCTGCACATCGCCGGCCCGAGCAGGGATCTCGGGGCGCCCGGGCCCACCCTGCTCCTCCTGCAGCGTCAGCTCCATGGGCGCGGCCGGCTCAGGCCAGGCAGTGCCCTTCTGGACGAAGTGCTCGAAGGCCTGCTGGCAGGTGCGGTGCTCCCTGTCGCCGGCCAGGCGCTCGCTGCGGGGCACCACGTACAGCATAGGGATGATGGGCCGTGGCTTAGCCTCGTCTTCCGCTCCGCCGGGAGCCTCGGGGGGTACCACGTTGAGGGCCGCAGGCGGCAGGCTCTCCTCCTCGGCTGTGGGGGCTGGTGCCAGCACAGAGGGTTCCAGCAGGGGTGGTGGCAGGGGCACCCCTTCAGGGGTGAAGTGGGCTGGGGGAGCCGGCGGCAGGGCTGGTGGGGGTGGCAAGAGGGGAAGGTGGGGGTGCAGGGGACCGTAGCTCTTCTTCTTCCGGTCACTCTTGGCCTTGGCCGGCCGCAGCTTGCCCCTCCCGTCCTCTGCAGGGAGAGAGGAGGAACGGTCAGAGGCCGACCCCTGATCTTGGCCCACAGTCCCCCACGAGCCGACCCTGAGCACCGGGCTGCAGCCTCAGACACGGCCCACTGATCTCAGCTGCAGCCCTGGACACAGTCCCTGGACTGTGGTCCCAGACACAGCCCCTTGATCACAGGCTATGGCATCAGACACGGCCCCCCGACCAGGCTGCGGCATCAGACACGGCCCCCCGACCCCAGCCCGAGGGGTTCAGGCACTGGAGCATTGCCAACACCCAAGGACAAGCCCCACCGCAGAGGAGCAGACACGGAGACACCCCAGCATGCCAGTGCCCATGAGCGCCCTGTGCCTGGGTAGTGATGGCTGGGGAAAAAGCAAGGGCGGGTAGGAAAACGGGCTTCAGGCAAGTTCCCATCACAGCGACACCTCAAGCAGACTCCCTGGGAGCCCCCACCCTTGGGCTCTGCGACGGGCCCGAGGGGACGAGCTTTCTGGAATCACCACTACGTGAGCAGGTGAGTGATCTAAAAGCAACTGGGAAAGGACGCTGCTCACGGGGCTCCGGCCTGAGCGGGCGCTGCAAACGGTAAACAAGCTCAGCCGCTCACGAAGAGGGTGGAGGTTCGAGTCCACCCAGAGGTACCTCGGAAGAAAGGCCTGTCGATCTACTTCCCAAAAGTCACAGCCTTGAAAACCCTACAGAGCACAGTTCTCCTGTGACACATGTGGGGTCACCGTGAGCTTGAGTCAACCCGATGTCAACCAGCACGGGTACTTCCTGGGGGCTGGCTCCCATGTCCGGCCCCTGGGAGGGGCAGGGGACTGGCCTCATCTGTCTTCTTCACCCGTATCTGAGTTGAGTTTATTTCAACAACTAACGCGCACACTTGCGGACTCCTTGAAAGGCAAAAACCCAAAAGGGATCACAGACAGCCAGAAATGCCAATGAGCCCTGGAGGGCACAGCCCAGGACACTCTGCCGGCGTCCCAGGGCAATGCCGGGGAAGGGGCCCCGAGGCCAGGCCTCAGGGTCATTTTGATTTGGGGCCAGAAGGACCAACAGCCAATCACACTGAGACGGTGCTGTGGCGGACAGAGTGACAGCCCCCACAGACAGCCACATCCCCATCCCCGGGCCTGTGACCGTGGTTTTCCCACCATACAAAGTGGCTACAGAAGAAGTAACCGTAGGGCCGCTACACTGCTGGCTTTGTTGGGGGAGGAGGGGCCCATAAGCCAAGGAATGTGGGCGGCCTCTAGAAGCTGCAAAGGGCCAGGAGTGGAAAAGGCCTCTGGAATGAACCAGCCCTGCCGGCGCCTGGATTTTAGGCCTCCTGAACTGTGAAAGAATCCGTCTTGTTTTGAGGAGCTAGGCGTGTGGCACTGTGTTACAGCAGCCGCAGGAAGCACGTGCCTGCGGTGTTTGGCGGGGGAGGGCAAGGTTCCTCCCACACCTGCACCTCCCTGTGAGGAGCCATGAACGCCTCCCTAGTCTGGTGCCATTATCGCGGACCCCTGCCCCTAAGGACGACCACCTCTAGCGGCCCACTGAACTGTAGACACCTCAAGCTGGGCCCCGGACCCCTTGGGGCTTTACTTGCAGCACCTGGAGAGTTGGCACGCCTCATCCACGTATCCCCTGGCGTCACGTAAGGCGTGGCTAACGACCAGGTGACCAGCCGTCCTGGTTTGCCCAGGGCTATCAGTGTTCACACGGACAAGGTCCTGGGTGACCAGGATGAGCTGGCTGCCCTGCTGACGGCCCTCGGGGAATGCCATCGCTGCACCTTACAGCGAGGCCGGAAAAATAAAGGGAAAAGGAGTCCTCCTCTCCACACTACGTCGGTGACAACGCGAAGCCTCATTAGCTCTGCTTTGAAACACGGCATCTGCATTTCACTCTTACTATAAAAACCCCGGCCATATGTCACCCCTGCTCCACAGCCAAAGACGACAGAACCAGCTGGAACCAGGGCGGATGACCTCGGGGAGACAGAGCTCCTCAGGGTGATGGCTGAACCCCTAACTCCGCCCACGGCGACCCCAGGGACGGGTCAGGAGGACCCTCCCCTCCCTGCAGGCTCCTCGTGGCCATGAGGAAGCACATTAGACATACCACACACCTCGCCTCTGTGGGGACCCTGCCCGTCTCCACGGCGACTGCCTTGTAGAGGCTCTACGCTGGGACACTCACCTGGGTCCCCCGCCTGCCCGCCCACAGCCCATACGCCCCCTGCAGCCACGCTGGCAGGATGACGGCACGGCGTGTACTTGGCAAGCACTTGCCACGTCTCTCCAGAGGCAAGTGATGAAGCAGAAGGTGGAGGGCACACCAGGCCTCCCTCAGCCCTGCCCACTCTGGTCTGGAATGTTTCATGGGTGCCCTTCCAGAGTCCTCCTGCGCTGCGACCCCTTTGAGGGGACTTGGCCACCTCCCCAAGTCCTGTACCCAGACATGTATCCCTTCCCCTGGCCCTCCGATGCCACTGTCCACCTCCTGAATGAGGCTGTCTGGAGCGGGAGGAAGCGGGCGTGAGGATGCGGTGCGGACGCTGCTGCCCTCGGCGTGTTTGCCAGGACGGCCTCTCCCCTCAGACGATGGAGGTGGACACAGCTCCCCAACAAACATGCTTCCCTGAGCCGGGCTGAGAGTCAGACGCGGAGGGCACTGGCCAGGAAGGAGGGACCAGGCGCTCCACCTGCAGGAAGTCCACCCGCCCGGCAGCCAGGGGGCCGTGGGCTGGTGGTCGGCTGGGCAAGGCCAAGTCATCAGAGGTCCACACTTGGTGGGGGACATGGGGGCATGTGGGTCTGCCTGCGGCCATGTGGGGCGCACACAGCTCATTGCCGCCGCTTGGAGGCCTCGGTTCTCCTAGTTTGTAAGAACAACACCAACGTGGCCCACAGAGCCCACTCCTGTTGGCGTGAAAGGCACGTGCGGGTGCACAGCTTTGCCTCTCTAAGGACAGCCCGCATTCCTTCCTCACTGGAGACCACAGGGACTCCCCCCAGCACGGCATCTGAGGTGGCTGCTGCCCCCACCGAGGACGAGACGGCCGACCCCCACCCAGCCGGCTGCAGATGGCTGCGACTGGGCACGGAGGCCTGGGGTGTGAAGTCCTTTCAGAATCCAGAGGCAGGAGCACCTGGCACTCAGTGGGCGCTTGATAAACATCTGGGGCGGGGAGGGGTGAAGAGGGGGAGAGGAGAGGGAAGAAAAGAGGGGGTAAGGGAAACGAGAACGGCAATGAGGAACGGGTGAGGGGAGGAGACGGGAAGGGACCAGTCCCCAGGCTCCCAGGCCCTGGAGGCCGCATCTCTCCGCGGGCTGGGGGCGAGGCTCCCCTGCTCAGGGAACTGCAGCTCCGAGCTGGCGCCCAGCCAGGGGAGAGGCTGACCCGGAGGCAGGGTGTCCCACGGACGACCGCACGATGTGGGGGGTCTGTGCCCATGAGTGAGCTGGGCCATCACCCCCCACAGGGCCTTGTTTTCCATTTCCAGCCTCTGTGCGGGAAGGTCCAGGCTGTTGTGAGCAGGGGCTCTTCTTGAACGTTCCCCATTTCCTTCTCTTATTTGAGAGAGGCGGTCAGCCTTGTGAGGCCCTGGGTCCCCACGGACCCTCACAAGGGGTCCCGGCGCAGCCCCTGCCTGGAACACGTGGCGGGGCAGGGGAGGTGCGACCTGACACAGGGTGGTGTCGGTGGGGACCCAGCCCTCCGGGGCTCAGGCCTGGCTCTGCCCTTCACTGCCCCTCCATCTGTCCCTGGGCTGCACGGTGGGTGGCGAGTGCCCTGAGGTTACGGGTGAGGGCAGTGGACACTTCACAGGATGACGGGGCCAGAGGAAGGAGGCCTTGCTGACACAGCAAACAGACTGACAGGAGCAGGGTGGACAGACATGGGCCACCTTCTTCCCCTTCTGCTTGGGCCCCACGTGGGGGCGGGGAGCCTGGGACGGAGAGCAGTCCAGGCCGGGGACAGTTAGCAGGGAGCAGCCCCTAGGGCCCACAGCACCGCACCAGGAGACCCAGCCCTTTCACCCGCGGCCTCCCCGCACCAGCACCGGAGCCCCTGTCTGTGCCCGAGTGACAGGGAACACGCCCTTGAGCCCGTGACACCCACTGAAAAAACAGCACAGAACAGCACCTCGCTACCAGCCCTGAAGCATCACTTAGCACTCACGGCTTTTAGGGACATTAAGCTGGCATTAAAGGAAGGCTCGGAGCCACTATGAAGTCTGTGACGCGCGCTCTGCTCAGTCCCTGACTGAGGACACTTATTATGTGATGCTTTTGTGAGATTTATCTTCTACCCAAAGGCTCTGGGGAGAGACGGGCTAACCAGGTCAGCTCCTGACAGTAGCACGCACCCTCTCAGCCACGGCCTCCCGTTCAGAGGCCCCGAAGCGGACACTTCCTCTTTCAAAGGGCCAGAGTTACAGAAAAGACCCTGCAACACACACACATATGTACACACACGTATGCATATACACAAACACACATGCGTATACACAGACACAGAGACACATATACACAGACACACGTGCAGATATACACACACAGACACGCACAGACACACATGTACCCACACGCACACATGCATATACAGACACGCACATACACAGAGACATAGACACGTACCCACCCACCCACACACACACACACAAGCGCACGTGTGCTCTCGCACCCTTACAGAAAGCTCTATGTTGGTAAACACACCAGAGAAGTAGGGCTACGCTCAAACCTGATGGTGGCTGGTCCTATGGAGAGAGATGTGGGAGACCGGGGCGGAGGAAACGGGAGCTTAACTTGCAACCGTCGTTTGGATTTTTCCACCCCCTCCCCCCGGTCTACAGTCTGTTGTACTGTGGTGGCTCTCGTGTGGCTGTGATGCTGGGAGCTATGTCACCGGTATTCAAACACCAGCAGAGCTTCCAGACTAAGACAGACTAGGAAGAAAGGCCTCGCAAATCAACTCCCTAAAATCAGCCAGTGAAAACCCTA